CAATGCTGCCACTTGAGAAACTCCATTTGTGCTCCTCCAAGGCCAAACATATGGTAGGAGTTACTGCACACTTTGTGGGTGTGTTTTACTCTTCCCTTGCTAAGGCTTGAATGACTGTGTGATCATAGATACAACACTCAGCCCAAAGCAGTGGGGTCAGATGGGCCTGTAGCACCAAAAAACTAAGGCAAGGGATTAGGGGAAGGCATTGGTGGTATAAAAATATTTCCAGATTAAGAGTTCATGCCAAACTTGGGTAGTTTAGTGCTCCACAGACAAGTTTTGCTCTCAAAAATAATCATCTGCCAAGTAACTTACCCGCAGGATGGGGCTGCAGAACTCAAAGCACAACATCCACTCCAGGAAAGGCAGGACACGGGGAACTGGGGGCTCCAAATCACGTCCTGGCACAGGAGCATGAGCGGCTCCGTGGTGGCAGCTGAGCTCATGCCACAAGTTCTCCCATTTCAACATAATCCCTCACTTGGAAAAGCAGTTCAGAGCTGAAGTGGGTGTGAATTTGAAGTGTAAGAAATACAGACGACTCTTAAGTCTGATGCCGTGAAGAAGGGGGCTGACACCATCCCCCCTCCTCATCCCTCATGCTGGTTTTGTGCCAGCTGATCCCTTTCAGACCAAGTGGAAAGGAGAATGGAAAAAAATAGTTCAGGATTACCTCATGCTGCCTTTCAGCAAGGGAAAGCTGTGGCTGGGAGGGCAGTGAGGCCTCAGGTCGTTAGTTCTGCCACCCCAGTCTCTGCTGCAGGAGGGGATCAGGCACCACAGGCACCCCAGGGAAGGTGCAAGAGGAAAGAACAGGCTACAGGGACAAAGGAAGAAGCAGGATTTCACAGCATGAGGTGTGTGGAGACATGCCTGACACTTTCAGGAAATCCTAACTGCTCACCGAGTACCAAAGCGAGGGAAAATTAATTCCTATCACGCACTGGAAGACAGGCAGCTGCACGTCAGAAGGGTGGAACCCTCCCAACACCTTCCTTTGGGACAAAACAAAACAAAAAAGAAGCAAACAGAATTTTAAGTTCACAAAACATTGCTTTTTATTATTTGAAATTGGAAAAGGCTTCTTGGGTAACAATGATCAGGTGTAAAAGTAACACACGCGTCTCGCTCAGCTTTCCAAAACCCGGGACGGAGTAGGCCAAGTGTTTGGTTTATACATCCCATTCCTCTAAAACCCACCAAGAAAAGGACAGGCAAAACCCCCTCCCTTGAACAGGGGAGCAGACTGGGCAGGTGAGGTGTTTGAACTACAAGTTACCAAGTTCCACATGGCTATTTGTGGCGTGAAACCAAGGTGCTGGATGTCAAATGGTACTTTGGAATGAAAATCTCATCTTTTTCCTCCCACTGCCCTCTGTACAAAGCAGGGATCTGGTATTTCACCTTCCTTTTTAATAAGTACCACGGGGTACTTGGTAGAGACTTTTTTACACTCAAGGCCTACAGGAGATGCCCAGATTAATCCATCAGTGTCATGTTAAAGTGGTGAGTGCAAAATACACACAGAAACAGGGAAGGAGGGGTATTAATCAATGAAAAAAAAGTGCAGAATGCTTTAATTAAGCTAATGAACACAGTTGATCTGAGTGCTCTTTGCCTCAAAAATTAAAAAAGTTGTAATCCAAACAAAAACCAGAAACATACATTTTAATTCAACACACAAAAACCCCAAAGGTCAGTGGCACTCACAGTTCGGTACCTTATCTTCCACTCCACAACTCAAATATTTCACTGTCCTGCTGGTAAGTGATGCTGTCCGAGGGCAGCACATTAATCCTTTGGCAGCTGAACACAACAGAGGGTTATTGGCCACGTGAGTAACCAGCTACAAGAGAGTTAATCCATTATCATTCCCTAAACTAGCAGATTGAGATTAGACAATCCATTTCCACACAACACCCAACACTCCCATTAAATTCCACTAGTTTTAAATTAATAAAAAGCAATAAAAAGTCATTTGTTTAAAAGTAAACACTGAGCCAGCTGCAGTTTGGGTTTTTTCTGGTAGCTGACACGTCCAAGCACATTTGCACAGGAATTCCCTTTCTCCCCAGTACGTGTTTCCACATGAACTGCCCTCCAACTGCTGCTGTCCCATTCCAGATTCCTATGGCAGCATTGCTGTTCACTCCAGAACGAAGCTGACACCCAGCCTTACAAGTAATTCCATCCTTTTTCCTCCTCCTCAGTAAAAACCAGCCTGACAAATCCCCGTGGACTGCAGGGAGTCTCCTACAACCACAACGCCCGAGCACAGCACATTCACAGCTCTGAAATCAGGCCCAAGGCAAACAAACTGGCTGCACGAGGAGCTTTGATGCTCCTGCTTTCCAGCTGGCCAAATCCATGTGTTTTGACAACACAGAGAGCAGGACTGAGGAGCACAACACAGCCTGAGCACATAAACCACTCGCTTGTTCCTGAGCCAGAATTCAGCCCCAGGTCTTGGTGTGGCCACTGGGGCTCTGCAGCCTCATTGCAAACGCTTTTGTTTAATCCAAAAGCCTTCTGCCAAGAGTATTCCTACCCCTGACAAGTTGTTTTCCATCTTCGCCAGCACTTTCCACCCATCTGGGATTAAGAAATCAAGCCAATTGTCCCCAAGATTTTCCACAGAGCCAACAGGACGAGGAGACGTCAGCACCAGGAATTTATCACCATCTGCAAGGCCCCACCACACATTATCCCTGTCAACAGCTCACAGAAAGATCCCAACACGCTGAAAAACTAGGGTTTGGGAAAGAAGCAGGGTATGCAGTGAAGACATGCTGTGCAGGGGGTGGTACAGCCTGTACTGAAGATGAACCAGCACAGCAAAAGCCTGTCCTGTCAGCACTGCTTCCCTCAGGAAAGGCGGGATCAGGGCACTGGTCACATCCCCCTCAGCCACGGTGATCCTCAGATACAAACTGCCTGCTCCTAAATCCGTCCCCACTCCCCTTGCTCATTCCCCTCTCCCAAAGATTTCAGAGTTGAGAGTTTTAACTGCTCAGCATGTTATCCTGCTTTGCTCTGAAAGCTCTGACGCAGCCACGCACAGAGGAACAGGCACAGGAGCACCCCCAGCATTTCTGCCAGTCTCCAAACTCACCAGCTTCACAGCTTTCCTCACCCCCAGCCAAATCAGAGGGAATTTTGTTCTGAAATGCCACAAAAAATCTGAAAAACCTGCCAGGCTTGGAGCAGCAGAAGGTGAGAAAAGGTGTCAGAGGAGGAATATTAATACCGAACTTGCTATTTCCTTTGCTCTAGACAGAACAAAGCCAGGGGGTACCGGCAGTTTCACCTTTAATCAGGCACATCCTGACATTTTGAGGCCAACCAGGTGAGTTATAAATAAAAAGATGCCACTACAGGGGCAAAGCTGAGCTGTGAAAAATTCCCACAAGGCATCAAGACTCCACAAAGCCTTTCTCTCCAGCCAGCCAAGCAGGTCTTGCCTTCAGGAGACCCTCGATACTGACCCTGGAAAGGTTCAGAAGGGACAAGCTACAACCTGTGCCAACAGTCAACCAACAACCACCAACCTTGCCCAGGTGACAAAGCAGACCTGGACTCAGCACAGAGCAAAACCCTCCTGATAACTGGTATCTTTGTAGTCCCCAGCAGACTCCTGGGAAGCTGCAGGTAACAACTTTCCTGACAGCAGTGGAACATGCCCGCACCACCTTTACACGCTCAGCCAAGCCATTGTAACAGGCTGTTAGGGAGAACACAAGGCAGTCAACATACTGACTGCATCAGCCTAAAACAGTAAATTCCAAGATAAACTGGCCATCCACATACCAGAGTCCTTATCATAGAATCATTTGGGTTGGAAAAGGCCTCTGAGATCATTGAGTCCAACCATTAACCCAGCACTGAAACCTCCATCAAACCTGGAAACCTCTGTCTGCAACATCAGGCACATGTTCTGCACAGAGCTCAGCAGCTGCAGCGAAAGGCTGAGATGCCTGATTTTAGCTCCAGGTCACCTCTGCCCACTCACCAAGGCACAGGAACTGTCACCTCCCTCTCTCCCAGCCCTGTGTGATCCGAACTGACTCTTCCTTCTGCTGATGCCCACAGGAACACCTCTGACAGGCTGCTCACAACCAACCTCCTTTTTACAGCTTATTCACCAGGACAGTAACAACACTTCAGCTCCTCACCTTTAACACCGAGGCAGGTTTTCCACTCCTGACAAAGCGGTAGGAAACAAAGAAGAAAGTGCCCTAAATCACCTTCCAATTCCCAGACGTTTGTAAAAAACTATCCAAAGAGACAGGAATTAATCCTGTGAGTGCTCAACGTCTCTGCTGGAGTCTGGGTTCTCACACAGCTTGAGGGAACACACGACAGCCAGAAATGGCAAAAAGCCCTTGTGAGAGTGAGAATAAAAGCTGCTCACAGGGAGTGGAACCAGGCAGGGACTGAAACTTCTCCACAGAAGGGGCCTGAAACCTCCCAGCACATGTACAGACACATTTACAAACCTAAACCTGCAGCAGATGTAAAGGCAGAGGGTTTTTTTTAGACATTGATCTGGGTAGAAGAGAAAGGACATGGAGTTTGTCATTACAGCCAGAGAGAAAATGCAACAAAGTATCACATTAATGCTGATGGTTTCTAGCACAACTCAGTCTGTAGATAAGCACTGGCCAGGATTTCCTGTACAGGACAGTCTACAGGGAATCTACTTTCTTGCCTGCAGCCCACAATTCCCAGTGGAGCTCAGATCTGCCACAGAATGCAGGTATTACGGGAAGAAATCAAGCTCAAAATCTTTCTGTGGAAGCAACAATCAGCAGGGATGAAACAAGTACAACTAGAAAGGGAACAGAAGGGTGCTGTGAGTGGAGCAGCAGCACCCACCTGTCAGCACCCACTGCAAATGGCACCAGAAGGAGCCAGAGCAACATGAGGAGAATCCCTCGTCGCTCCTTTGGACTGCAAAGGGCAACCTGATACAGGAATGACACCCAGCTGGGGTCACACCAGTGACAGTGACACGTGGCACCTTCTGCTGCCCATCACAGACCAGAGCCAGCAGGCTCCAGCTGCCCTTATCTCACAGTTGGTTTTCTTTTTGCTCCTTCCTTTACATTTTCAGACCCCCTTTTACAAGATCTGAGGTGAATCTTTCAGGTACAAGGCAGTTGGGACACATCAGCTCCTGCAGTTTACACCCATTTCCAGTCCCACACCCAGCTCCTGCAAGAAAAAAGAACCATTTCCTCTATGCTCAGTGAGACACACGGACCTGGAGCCCCAGGGACAGCACATCCATCAAGCTCCAGAAGCCAGGATACTGCTACATACACTCATTTGCAGTGGGAATCCTCCCCTTGCTGCCAAGCTGAGGGTACTTCTCCAAAGGAAACCACACACTCCAATTCCCAAGCCAAGGATGAAGGTATCACACCAGCCTCTCCTGGCAATGCTGCACCCAGAGAAAGGTTTCTCTAGAGAGGAGGACATGCTTTGACACTGCCTGTCCCTCTGATCTGGCATTATTTTTGTCCCAATACATTCTTTTTCTGCAATAAGAAATGTCTTTTTTCCTCCTCTGCAGGATCCCTTCAGCTCTACAAAGCTATGCCACAGACTGGGTAACAAGGACTGCTGGGAAGCAGCGTGGAGTGGCAGGGAGGAAAGGGCAGTCATGGATATTTTAACTGGGGTGTGTACATTTGGGGTAAAAAGGCTTTATTAAAAGTGCATGCTTTTATCCAGAGGTACCGAGAGCTAGGAATCCCCCCCAGCCCCGGCTGGGGGAGCGCAGCAGCCTTTGCAACCCCGAGCCCTGTCCGTCACAAACCGCCCGTCAAGTTGCCAGGGACTGAATGTTCTTGAGCATTTCATCGAAGGCCTCACGGGAAGGCGCTTCTGCGTTCTGGAAGGAGACCTTGATCCTGCTGTAGAGGCTGAAGGATTTCAGCTCCAGCCAGATGAACCCAAAGCGGTCGTCGTCGAAGAGCACGAACACGCCCGGCGTCCGCTCGGGGCTGGTGAAGCCGTGGCCGGCGATGAGCCCCGTCCCGTAAAAGCTGCCAGGAGAGGAGAGCAAAACGGGAGAGAACAGCCAGGATCACTCAGTGTTTAATAAAAAAAATGAACAACACGAAACTCTGATGAAGCCACTCAGTTCTCACACAAAATGCTGCCCACACATGGAATCAACGGGGTTGGAAAAGACCTCCGAGATCATCGAGTCCAACCTATGACCCACCTTGTCAACCAGACCATGGCACTGAGAGCCACATCCAGTCCTTTCTTAAACACCTGTTGATGCCATTTTAAGACAAGAAACTCTCCACTGCTATTTGCAGGTTGCTGCTTTGGGTTATTCTAATTAGCACCTGCACACCTTAATTATTCTGTAGTTCAGCCCAGAAACCCATCTGAGATTTTATTCTGCAACTCAAGGATCTACAGAGGCCCAGACAATCCTCACAGGAAAGGAATGGCATGTTGAGAGGGTGACCTGAGAGACAAACCTTGTGCAAAACTGAAGAGAAGGGCGAGAAAAATCTAAAAAGCAGAAGAATCTACCATGATCTGTGGAGGCATAAAGGTCAGTCCCACCTCGAGCAAGCAGCAGGTGGAGCAGGGTTTTATCCAAGCACAACTCAGTTGTGACAGCAGGAGCCTTCTGGGATTAACCAGCTATCAGTAGGTTTTTCCATGAGCACAGATGTGTGGTTGAAGGTCACCTGCCTAAGCCTCAGCTTTTCTCTACACTTCATTTAGTGTGATGCTTCACTGACTCCATTCAACAAGGCTCTCTGCATGCCTGGACCTACTGTTTGGAGTGCTCAGCACCTTCCAGGGCTGGCCCCAAGGCACCAGAGGCCAGAGAAGGGTGGGAGAGAGCACCGTGTTCCCAGAGCCAAGGAACACAAATGACACACACAGGAACGGGAAGCAGCTTGAACAGAGTTCTAAATATATGAGCTGGGCAGCTCTGGGAAACAAAACACCAAAAAAAAGGTGTGTGGAACACAGGAGAGGTGCTGGCTTCAGAAAGTAACCAAGGTAAGATCTAGCAAGGAAGTGGGATGGCAGATGGCAGTGTGGTGAAAAAGGGAGCAAACAAGAGCGTGGGAGATAGGGCAGCAGAGACAGGAACCAGAGAGCTGGTGAACTCCCCATCTCAGGAAGTGTTCAAGGCCAGGCTGGATGGGGCTTGGAGCAACCCCATGGCAGGGGGCAAAGCAAGATGAGCTCTGAGGTGCCTTCCCACCCAAACCATTCTGGGATTCTATGAAATCTGATCCCAAGGGGCTGGGAATCTGTAGGCAGGTAAATGGCACACAAACACAGGACACACCTCGAAGACTCCCCCTTCTCTTTCAAAAAGTGATTGGCACAACTGGCACCACCAGTCCCCATTACCAAATTCGGCAGGTCCGGGGATAGTCCTCATTCCTCGATATGACTCCCATGGGCAGCACGAAGGGCTGGGAAGCTGGTGCCTTGTTCTGTGTTGTCCCCTCTGCACCAGCTGCAGTCTCTTCCCCCTCAGCACCTTCTCCTCCCAGGGGATTGGCAGCAGGCTGGGAGGAAGCCTGCTGGGAACACTCCTCTTCCTCCTGCCGCTGCTCCTGCTCCTGCTCCTCACGCCGCACCTGCTCCTGGACCTCCAGGACAATGCGGGACAGCTCGCTGAAGTCGTGCAGGTTCTCGATGTCGGGCAGCTGCAGGGGGTGTGCCAGGTCGATCTCCACAGTCTGCTGTCCAGCTGGGATGTTGGGATCTCCCTAGAGACAGGAAGCAACAGCACGGCTGCAGGGGCAGGGAGCTACAGAGTTCAGAGCTGTGTCCTCTCCACATCATTCATCACCTGACTTCGACAGAGTTCACCCAATTCTACAATGAACGAGTTGCCATCACAAAAGGGCCACTTGAACCTTGTTGTTCCCTGAGCTGGCAATTGTCATCTCTGCTTCCCCCCGTCCCAGAAACAGTTTTAAATCAAAAGCTACAAGCCAGGCTGTACTTGCAAGGGTGAAAGAAAGTCAAAGCTGCAGCTGCATTTTGTCAGAATCCTCCTTGCAGAGAGGAAGGAGCTCACTTGCCTGACTTCAGTGGAGAGCTGCCAACATTTGGTACCTGCTCCTCAAACACATGCAAGGAATCTCCAGTGACCTGCTACCAGCTGCTCACAGAAAGCAGCTGGACAGGAGAGGAAGGGAAGGGGAAGCCAGATGGAATCAGGAGAAACCCTGCAGGTCAGTTTCTATTTACTTTGCACGTGATGAGATTCACCCAATGCCACCCATCCTCACAGGGAACAGGGTTTGGGGTGGCAACAACTGACTGCCTCTGAGACAGAGATCCCCCCTATTCATCCATGACATCGAGAATACTTCAACAAGCACCTGAGAGAAAGGGAAATGCACTCACAGTGATTTTAGTCCCCTTGGCTTTCTTCCCATGAAAGCTCAGCATGACGATCTCCAGCCCGTGGCTCCCATAGGTGCCTTTGAAGAGCCCTGGCCTGATGAGGTCGTCGGGGCTGCTGGGGGGGAGGTAGATGCGCCGGTAGGTCAAGCAGTTGCTGTGCAAAATAAAAGCATTAGAGAGGTTAAGGGAGAATCCCTCACCATGAGGAATGTGTTGGCATTCTGCTCCTCCAGCAGCGTTAGGATGTTGCCAAGAGAGGCGGGATCTGTCTTTTCAGCAATACTAACAAGCTTAGTGGATTTTGCTTTACACCTCTGCAAGCACTTCTTCCCTCCCTCCCTTCACTTCTCTCCCAGTCCTCCTTAGCACACCAGGAAATTCCTGCAGCAAGGTCACAGTAAACCTCCTCACTCCCCAGAATTTCCAGACAACCCAAGAGTGAAGCATATTTAAACACGTCCTACAGTGAGGTGGCTGTACTCGGAACTATTGTGAGGTAGTAGAAGCTTGGAGTGGTGGTTAAAACCCCCCAATTTCTCAGGGACTGTATGATTTTTACACTACAAAGCATATTGCTGACTAATATGGATAATAAGCAGACACTCCTTGGGACCACAGGCATTTGCTCTGTCTTCAAATTAAACACAGTTAAATGGCTCAAAAGCACCTTACTGTGCATAGTTATTGTATAAAACTTGGAACCTTATTCTTACTGCTGTAATTACACCTCTGGAAAGCACTGTGTATCCCTGCATGGAGCCTGCAGAGACAGAGCATTCCTCTGGCTGTGAGAGCCAAAGGAAAACCCCCATCTTCAGGACAAATGCTCCAATGTGCTTGCGACATTGCACCAGCTTCAATACCAAGAGCTGGAGCCCTTACTCATATTGGCTGGTGTAGATGAACTTCATCAAGATGAGCTCTTGCATGTGTTCATGGAAGATGTCTTCCAGAGTCCGACCCCACTCTTCCCTTAGCCACGTCCGGAATTCCTGCAGCACGAGGAGGAAAGGGGCAAGATAAGGACTTTTCAGTGACGTCCCCCAATATGACTTCATCCTGTCAGCATGCTTCACTCACTGGCAGAGCCACAGACAGGGCATATGCTCTGCCAAAGACAGAAGATCAGGCTGGATTTGGGAACAAGCACGTGTTGCTACAGAGCCGGCCTGGAAATAGGCTTAACAAATAGTGATAATGGTAACTATCAGTCACCACACCATAAACATGCCCCCCTTCAAATACATCACAGATAGAAACAATACACCTCCTCAGAATAAAACCACGAACATCACCTGTAACTGCAAAGTAGCTCATCTACTGCTTCTTTACCTCCTGACTTATCTTGCACTAACTCATTTGTGTGCCCACCATCTGACTCCCGTGCCCTGTCCTGACATGTGAAACATAAAGTGACAACAAAAACTGACAGCTTTTGAAAGGCACTGAAGGTTTAGGAGGTTAAATCCTGCTGATTTAATACTGATGAATCTAAATCCAAAGGGTGCTTTGAAACCATCTCCTGAAGTACCTCAGCTCCAGCTCTGACAAGTTAATACTCCGCAATGAGTTAGTGTAATAACAGCTTACACTGAGATAGCAGCCTACCAAGTGATATTCCAAACCTTCCTGCTTTATCTCCCAAAGCCAGATCCTCCAATTACCATAATTCCACGCACACTTAACGCAGCGCTTTGAAAGTATTAAAGCATTTCTCATCTGCTACAGCACCAGAAAACACTTCACTAACCCTTTCACCCAGCTGCTTCCCATTAGCAGACAGGCATTTTACAGCATTCCTGAAGTATCAGATCTGCCACGTGGAACCAGCTGGCAGCAAACACCAAGTACCTGGAACAGGTATTTATCCTGACATTGATACCTGCACCTTAACACAGGCACTTGAGTCAGGAATCTGCTTTGCTGGGTAGAGCTGACAGACACAGGATAAACAATCAAATGAAGTCTTTAATCCCTCGAGCAAGACAAGCAGTGGGAAGGTGCCCCACTGACCAGCAGGTATTCAAATGCAGCTGGTACTCACTCCTAGGCCTTTGAAAGATCTTAATTACTCAGACAGCAATACCACAGAGATCAGTGCCTGGAGTGTTGTGTGATGTACAATATGTGCTGCTGCCTCTCTCTGGACAGGTCTGCCACCAAACAGGAATGGTGTCACAGCAGGGGAAGGAGGAGGGTGCTGGGGCTCAAAGAATACCTTGGCACAGAGAACTGCCTGAAACAGTAATTCAGCCAAAAGCCCCCAGCCCGGATTTTCATGTATGTCCAAACACACGGAAGTTAGAAGGCAGGAGACCACCTCCCACCCCAACATCAGCTAAGAGTTTATCTTCAGAAAGGGAACACACAGACAGTCTCAGTGCAGACTCCTGGCAGAGCACTCTTACCTCCTGCCTTCCCCCTGACATCCGGTGGTGATCCGTCTGGTTGCATTTCGTGGAGAACTCGTCCTTCTTTACAATCTGTAGTTACCATGGAGGAGAATTTAACAGGTTACAGACCTGCCCAGAGATACCTCAGATGAGGTAACTAAGACTGTTTACAGCAAATGTTTTATACAACAAATGTTACAGAATCTGCTACAACAAAGAAATCATTAAGGGGTACCGAGAGCAGCAGCTGCAGAATAGAGAAATTAAAAAGCAATAAACCCCCAAAGCATTCTAATAAAGGATAATAGTTTTAAGCTGCTTCTCCACATCAACTTCCTTTTTTAAAATAAAACAAGCAACCTCTCAGGAAGCTCTTCAAAGCATCCCACGTGCTGACTGGATGCTGCATCACCTTCTCAAGGTCTCACCTTGGAGAGAGCTGTAAAACAGGTTTGTGTGTCTGCCTGGATACATTCACCAGCTGCCCAAGGCCATTTTACACATCCCTTCCCCCAGCCTGTGCACATCCTGGTGTTCCCACAGTGCCCCAGCCCAACAGAAGACAGTACAACAGCCTTGCTGTACTATTGCCAGGGAACAAATTCAGAGCAGGGAACAGCCCACACAACTTGTCAGACACATAATGAGCGTAAAACTGGCATCCACACACACAACAAGGGGGCGAAATCCTCATCTCTGAAATCAAATTCTACCAGTTTTCTGATGAATCCATATTCAGAGCCAAAGGACACACACACTGCACCCAGGACAGGTGATGCTGGCAGCGCCAGGAGCTCACCTGGATGTGGCCGTTGTGAGGTCCCTTGTGACCATACATACACTCCACTGTTGCACATTTCCTCTCCATGAGGTGAATCCTGAAGAGGGGTTTGAATCTCATGGGATCATCAACGTGAGGGTCGTGAGGCGGCAAGTACATCCATCCAATAATGAACAAACCATCTACCTGCAGAGGTAAAGGACACAAAGCCCACAAGATCAGCCTTGCACGGTTTCTCAGGAGTTTGCAGCAAACTCTGGAGCCTGTTCTGGCCCAGGGCAGGAGCTGCAGAAGAGCTGCTGCATTTCCAAATGGCTTTCCAGCAATTAAACCAGACCATATGCACTCACAGCACACCCTGGGTGAGGAGGGAGAGGGTTTCTTTACAAGGCTTCCTGCACCACTGGAAAATGATCAGGACTTTATTGCTGCAAACGACTTTGTGACGGATGCCTGGAGCGCAGGATCCAGAGGGAGAGACCACACAGCAAGTCAAGCTCTAATTGGTTTGAGAGCTCATGCTGGCAGATATTCCAACAGACGAATTCTGCTTCCCGTGATTATCCCTGCCTTTTGGATGAGGAATTATTTGGCTCTATTACTCACAGGCAGTACAGGAAGCAACACTCTCCTCTGCTGAGAGGCACAAGTGCCAACCCCTTTCCTGCACTAACAGAATCCTGCCCCTCAGGCCCTGCAATTCCAGAGGCAGGATATTTTCTAAACAGAGAGATTTGAGACCAGAGCAGCGCCACAGAGGCACTTGTCTTTATAAGGTCACAGTATCATGTAAGTATTGATGCACTTGGATGCACTTTTATACCAGTTCATGGAACAGAATCTTGCAAAACCCAAAGGCCTCGTGATTTGTTCCACTTCAACCTGGCAGTTATTGAACCCTGGTGCAAAGAACAAGGGCTTCAGGCAAGCTCCTGGCTCAGCTCTCCCCAGTCAAATGTTGTTCATTAACTGCTCTCCCCAGCAGCACCAGAGCTGCCAGACCCCACAGGTCTGGCACCAGTATCACTCTACATCTGATGCACAAGTCTTAGACACGGCTGGTGAACTGTGGGAACTACAGGAAAGAGAGGTGTAAGAACACAAATGCAAAACCTTTTGAAAATGTTCAGCTGCAGGCCAAGATAATGCCCTCAGTGATGGGCCACTGCTAAAACCTCTGCTGAACCTGTGCCAGCCACTGGAATATCAGCATTAAACTCTAAATCAAGTCTTTCCCTTAAATATTGATCATGTTCTCTATGTGCTTCTGGGGCTGTTTGAGGCAGAGCTGAAAAATAAAAGGACTTTCTGGAGAAAGGTGGTGATGATGACAAGAATCCCAGAATCATTTAGGTTGGAAAAGACCTCAGAGATCATTGGGTTCAACCTGTGACTGATCCCCACCTTGTCACCCAGCCCAGAGCACTGAGTGCCACGTCCAGTCATTCCTTGAACATCTCCAGGGATGGGGACTCCACCACCTCCCTGGGCAGCCCCTTCCAATGTTTAACAACCCCTTCTGTGAAGAAATTCCTCCTGATGTTCAACGTAAAAGAAACCAAGAACGAACCCAGAAGCAACCTCTGGGTCCCAATCACTTGCTTGAGGGCTGACTGTTCAGACTTTCAGTGGTATGAAAATGGCCACCAGGCCTGGAAAGCACAAGGAAAGGCTCCTCAACCCTCAAAACCACAGCCCCTGGATAAGGTACTCACTCACCACCACATTCAGCAGTCCCCCGTAGGGCCCAATGTCCGGCTGCCACAATCCCAGGATGTGTCGGTACCGGTGCAGCACTAGGGAACAGGGAGACACCCGAGTGAGCACATCAAGCTAAGGAATTGGGATTTTGGGAATGAAAATCAGACTGCACACAGCACTGACCAATACCACCCACAACTGCCTTTACTAAGGAAAACTGGTTGTGTCCAACCCCAGCCAGGCAGTTCTGGAACTGAGGCCTCCCACAAGCTCACACACAGTTATGTTGTTCTCTGCTCCCGGGCCTGCGGAGGGGCAGAACCACCTACCTCGCCAGGAATTCCCACAAAACTTATGCAACATGGTCCCATTAATGCAAATCTCATGATATACCCAGAGCTAAAACCAAATCAAAATATCTGCCGTCTCCAGTTACCAAAAATGCACTTGATGCTTCAGACTGCAAAGCAACAGAAAATAAGGAAGGGAAGGAAGGAACAGGGAAATTTGAATGTTTCGAAAGCATTTCTCTGCCTTGTGTAGACAAACTTGTCTCCAGAGGTAAGCATCCTTAAAACAGCCACTGAGAGCACGGGCAAAGCACAGGGACCACGGCAGCTCAGGAGCTCTGGTGGTGTGACCAGGTCAGGCGGGGTCAGCCACGGCCTGAAAAATTCTACATAAGCAGCTACATCTCAGCAGTGCCCAAAAGCTACTTCCAACCCCCTCTCAAAGCCTACAGCAGCAGGGGAGGCTCCTCTGTTTCTCATCCCAGAGCCAGGTATCCCTTCAATCCCACCTAAATGAAGGACAAGTAGGAATGTTTTCAGCGAGCAGGAGAAAACAGCTGTTACGGAATGATCTTAAACCTCCTCTCGTGAGGAAATCTTCACCTGCCTCCAGCCCTTACACAATCAGCCATTCCTTTTGTCCCTGTTATTCCCTGACATGACCAGTAATCTTCACATGAAGACATTACACAGTCTGGCATTTTGGGCAGGAACAGCAGGATGCAGATTATTTCTCTAAAGATGGCAAGAAGATGCTGCATTTGCCTTACAGTGATGTTCATGGCCAACTCAGGAGGCCGCAATTTTGGCCTCCAGGACTGGCTTGAAAAATGGTTTTTGCTTTGCATCCATTTAAAGGAAGAATTGTGTTTCAGTGCAGCTGTTCGACCAGCTTTGTTTCATTAACTACTTCAGACAGCAAGAACTAAGGAGTGTTTTTATTCCACCAAAGCAGAGAACTTCCACAGAAGTTTAGGACAGCAGGGAGTGATGTCCAGAGATGCTGCCAACTGGCCTGGAAGAGCCTTTTTCCTGTGCAGTAAACAATTTCAGACCGATGGCCTGGTTTCACCCAGGGAACCAAGTGCAGCACAAACAGCACCAAGGCAAGCAGGCAAACCACGTTCCCAGCTCAGGAATTCCACATTAATAAATGGTTTGTGCATGAGCTGCTCCACCCACCACAGTCTGCCTTCTACCCTGTCTGGCACTGAGCTGATAAAAAACAGCTTTTTTAATTTATTATTATTTTTAGGAGAGAAAACTAAGCTGCCCAGGAGGAATGAGGATGTCCCTCCTACCCCAGCTCCCACTGGATGCAATTTCAGGAAACGGGGCTGAGTCCCAGACACAGCCTCCTTCACCATCTGCCCTGACCACCCCAAAACCTGGAGCTGCAAAGGAGGAAGGAAGCCAAAAAACCCCCATTCACTTCCAGAAGTTCCTGAGGAAAATGCTGGTACTTGGCCAAGCGCCCAAACCAGTCTCAAAGCAAAAAGCACTGCCCCATTTTCAAGCCTGGGGTGTCTCCAGGCTCCAAAGAGCCAGCAGCTGTATCCTTTGCAGGGAAAAGCTGATAAATTCCAGCTCTGGCTCTTCCTGGCAGGAGACAGGATGGATTGACAGTTGTTTCCCTTCCTGCTCCTCAAAAGAAAACAGCACTTGGGTCTTCCTCCAAGGTTCTTCTCTGCTGTGCACGCTGCCTGTACTAAATCCTGAAGCTTCTTGCCTATCCAAATTTCTGAGCCCACATGCTGCCAAACTGAGCAAACTCACATCTACTGGATGTTTCAGTGCAGCCTTCATCCATCCTGGATATTATCCACGTTCTACAAGCAGCCCTGCATGCTCTTCAGATGGGAAAGTGGCTTGAATCCAGCTGGGGATGGGCTTGGAAAAGCAGGGAATGGGGAGGGTCCTGACCAGGAAAAACCTGATCCAGTGCAACTCTCCCAGACTTCCAGGATGCAGCAAGGTATCTCTAAGTAAAATGAGCTGGAACAATGTAAGCAGTTGCTGTGCCCAGCTTGCTGATAACTGACCTGCTCATGGAAAAAGCTCAGTGTCAGCCAGGTGAGTTTAAATCCCCGGGGAAAGCGGTCTGAGCTCACCTGGTGGAATGAATAGGAATTAGGGAACACTTCCATGCTAAACCCTGGCAACACGGAGGGGGGAAAAAGGGGGAAATGGGCAATCCCATCTTAAACCAGATGAACTCAGAACCAATAGAATCATTTAGGTTGGAAAAGACTTCTATGATCACTGAGTCCAACCATCCAAGCTTTTCCCAAGTAACACAAAACATCCCTAGAGAAAAGGGGCACGAGATATCAGAAGTTGGGGGCAGCTCAAGAATTAACAACTGAGGGAATGGCACCAAACGTCATTTGAGACACCACAAACAGCATGTTTGGAGCAAATACCCAATCTCTAAAGGAACCCATCTTGCAGCTTGGATGTGTCTCTCCTTCCCACTGAGCTCTGGAACACAGCTGGTGTTGACAGGCAGGGCTGCCAAATGTAAAACTCTGTACCAGTTCCTGCTCTAGTGCTGCTGTTTGTCTGTCCTGACTCACATTAAAGTCTCCATCCCCCCTGCATGGCCCATGCTCAGCTGCTTTCATCAGCACAGGAAACTCTGCAGCATCCCCTCCACACATTAATGTGTGTGAATACATTCCAAGCACCAGTGGGTTAGTAACTGGAGTCTGCAAAACTCTGCAGACCCAAAGGAGCATCAGAGACAGCTCAACCCTCCCTTCAAATAAATACTAAACAGTACTGGCCTCCTTAATTGATGTAAACTGAGCAGTATTTCCCCCTCAATTCCAGCTGAACACTGAGCCTAAAACTCCAAGGGTTTCACTACTCTTCCCCCAAACACAATATTAGGAGGGAAAGAACAGTTAATCCAGAGCAGCTTCTTGACTTAGAAAGGCAAATCACGATCTCTGAAACACCAGCAGGATGCTTCCTAGAGACAGAGATGGTGCTTAAAAGGATTCACTGTGCAGGATGGGAAGTACTATGGGAACGCTCAGCATTTTTCCCCGGGAAGGGCTGCGGATCTGCCTGCAGCTCACCTGGATCAAGACAAAGCTCTTTACCAGTTCAAAGCTTATTTAGACTTGCTTTTGGGAGGCCTCACCAGGGTATCTGAATACTTTCCTCTAAGAAAGGAACAATTCACACACAGCAGAGTGAGTGCTCCTGTTCTGGGAACAGAGACCTTCCTTCTAGCAGCCAGCCAGGATAACATTCTAACCCAGGGCAATATTCTAACCCAGGACCCAGCCAGGGCAATATTCTAACTGAAAGCATTCAAAAGGAGACCAACACACCTCACTGCCTGCCCTGCTCACAGTCACCCTAAAGGGTCAGAACTCTCTAACGCACAACAGACAGAAGTGACTGATGGGAGCTCCCTGCTGTCCCAAGGTCCATCCCAAAGCCACTTGCTCCAAGCCACGCCACACTCCATGCAGCATGTCGTGCGTGCTCAGTGCAGGAAGCATCAGGCAGCAGGAGGTACGTACGGCAGGTGTAAACATCTCTGTACTCCATGTGCTCGTAGTCGGGAAGGATTTTCATAAAACGCCCCGACTTCACCCGTGGGTTTATACCTGAACAGACAGAGCAGGGTGAGTGCCAGCAAACTCTGCTCCACTGGAACCAGCACCAACCATCTGATGGATCTGGACCAACCACGCAGGAAAGTCCAACTCTCTCTTCATTTGCAGCTGTTTCCATCAGCCCCAGTGCCGGGTACACCCGGTAGCAGGATTTCTCACACAGAACTTCCATGTTCCAGATTCCCACACAATATTTACAAATGGCATCTAGTGAATTCCAAGTGGAATCAAGGTCCTCAAACTCTGCATTGCTGCCTCAAGAAAATCAGGCAACTCCATGGACAGTAGCCCATGCCTTGGATTAGTTCTGCTTTCTAGCACTTACAGTCAGTTCCCTATTTCCCACTTACAGAAGCACAGTCAGTGGATGGAAAAGTCAGTGAGTCCTGTCAGTAGTCCCAAATTAACTCCTCTGCAATTAAAAAGGTTTATGGGACAGTAGAGAAAACGGGGTGACACCACCAGGAAACTGTTCCACTGAGTGTCTGGCACAGGGCAAACTGATGGATCTGAGCAGGATCACTGAGATAGTGCTTTCCTGAATGCCAGGAACAACTGCCAGTCATTCCAACTTTGGAATAACCATCACCAGATGGGCTGGCTGGACGGATATGGACACAGACCTTACACAGACCATCACAGAGATGGTTCTCACACATCAGGTGTGACTCTGCTAACAGAAAACTACTTTGGAGCAAAGGGAGACTGAAAACGTGTGAGACAGATATGCTGAAGGTTTTTAAATCAATAAACAGATTAGATTCTGGAAATCCCTCAACCTGTAAACAGTGAGAGCATTTAGGAAAGTGTTACATAGACTTTGCCCTCTTCTCATTCCCTGGGTGACTCTCACAGCTCAGCTTCTGCCTGCAAAGGGACAGGGAGGCAGCCTCTCCATGGATCCAGGCTTCCATCCAGTCCTTGGTTTCCCTGGTTTCTCTCGCTTCCCTCATCCAATGATGCCCCAATCCCTGCCTCCTGTAGGACAGAAGATGTGCATCTACCTCAAGAAGGCACAGTGGGGCTAAGGAGTTGGAGTCCCACTCCCACAGACATTTCCAAAACACAGTGACAGCTCTTGCCAGGCTCTTTTCCTTCAGGAGCAGCCCAGAGGAACGCTCATCCCTTTCCTTACAGCACCTTTCCCACTCTCCTATAACCGTGTCCTTTTACTGAGATCAAGGCTTAGAAAAAATACCCTTTTAATTCCTTAGGAAGACCCCAAAATGGCAAAACAGGGTGAAAAACCCTCAATACACTTTATTATAAAGTCAAATTACATGCTCTTTTCCCACCAAAGGACTGGGAGGCACAGAAATCCCAGCACTTGGCATCTGCTTACTATTAAATGAGCCTCCAAACATGTCAACTTTCCAGACAAAACCCCCGCCAGTAGCAAGTCTGGCAACTGAAGCCATCGAAGTTTAATAAATATTCAACATTTATATGCTCTCAAAACTGGTACAAAGCAAGGATATGCAGATTTATATCAGCTTTATCACTTACGTTTGGCGTAAACATCTCGACAGGACACTCCTGTGATCTCCAATTTCCTCAAGTTTTCACAGACTCCATATTCTGCAACAACACAGATAGAAGTGTCAACTCTGGCACACAGGGGTCTGTACCCAGGGTCCTGATATCCACAGCTTGAGCATAACTGGGATCTGATTAGGTGCTTTCTTGAAGCTGCCAAAGTAGACCGAAATCTTATTTCAGCTTTAAAAACAGAAACGCGACGTAATTCCACTGTGGAATCCAACATATTTTACAAGCAGTGCCCGCAACAAACACACCATAAGGCACAAACAAACACAGCGAATTCACAGCTGCTTACACCTCAACCAGAAAGAGTGTGAAATGTGGGAGACAGCCTCATTCCAGCTGGGATTGAATGCCTGTTTAGATCAAATCACGACTGTGCGTAGTAATTATCTACTCCCACTGAGGTACCCAACAGGGAAAACTGCTTATTAGGATCCTAAAGAAAAGGTCACAGACTTGAAAAAGAATGAAATGGAGACATAAAACAGGCATCAGCATGTACAAATATGGTTACACTTGAAAGCAGATCAGATTGAGAAGGGGCTGTTGTACAGTGAAATGCCTTTGATTGTTACAGAACGCCCTGAAAACAAAGCGAGTCGGAGACCTCGGAGCAGCTTTGAAGCAGAAAATGAGATTCTCTCCTTTCATTTTCAGGAAGTCAACGTCAAACTTCTAAGAAACTTCAAATAAAATAAAGGCAAGTACTAACATCTCAGTGCTAGAAATCCTCAGAAAACCAGAGGGAGGAGACGAGAGAAGGGGTATCCCCAAAAAATCATCAGCAACAAAAACTACCATACTGCAAGTGACCTCGACAGATCTCATAATGGGAAACTGCCCTCCTTGACATCAAAGACATCTATAGCACAGATCAAAACCAGCTTTCCTCAGCAGCACAAACATCTGCCAGGTATTTGACACATAAGTGTGTCTGTGGAGACCCTCATCAAAACATTAAATATGCAACTTATCCTGGGTCGAGCATCCTTGAATTAACAATCGACTGTGGCTGCCAAACACCACCTAATGTTGGAAACGTGCTGCAAGTGAGAATTCAGCTTTCATATACAAGAAAAGCAGAAGTTTCCCTGAATTAATTCAACCTCCTCCTGCCTATAAATACACTACCATGATGATAAAGCACACACAAGGCTTCCTGTCAGCCTGCCTGTGGGGAATACACGTCCTGCACAACATCACTCTGGGTAAGCAGCAAGGTCAGGAAAGGTGAGAGTGGGCAGAAGGCACAACAAACATGTTGCCCTTCATCAAAAGATGCAAAAGTCAGTGGCAGAATTCCTGCTGACTTCCATGGCCAAAGCCAGAGGAAGCTCTAAGTGTTATCAGACACAAGGTGGGATGAGGAAGCACAATTAGCCTGAGAGCACAGAGAGCTCGCAGGAAAGAACAGTCCAGCACAAATAACATTCAGTGCTGGGCCTCCGCCAGCTGAGCCAACAGAGACTCCTGGGAAACCAGAGCTCCAAGGGAGCCTCGGAATCCAGACCCTCCCTGTGTGCCCATCCCTCCTGCCAGAGTTATCCAGGTTTTCCACAGCTGCTCTGCACGTGCACTCACGTGGGTCCAACATCCAAGGGATGCAGGGAACAGAATGTGTCCTCAGCTAATCGGAAAGTGAGAGGTCTTTGGAAGAGGATGGGAACACTGTGGTCAGAGCCTGGAAACAGGCAACTCTTTCCATGTAAACAAACACTGCCCTGGCCCCAGGACAGGTGAGACTGCACTGCAGGCAGACTGGAGTCAGTCACTGAAGTGTTTGTACTGCACTGGAAAGGGAGGAGACACACAGAGCATCCTGCCCAAACTGCATCTCTAACAGCACTACGAACACACTGACGTTCCCTCTTCCTCCAGAAGGTGCTTGTTTATCCAAGAATATTTTCCCCAGACCTGTAAGTCAGTCCAAGCAAAGGCTCAGTGCAGTGCCATGGCAGACCAGCTACTAGTAGGTATCCCCAAAGGGTCGGTGGGAAGTGATTTGTTATCAAAGCTCTATCCCAGCTACACCCAAGCGCCCCTGACAACCTGCAGAGCAATTTTATGAAAGCCAAACCAGGACTGAAGTGGTTGTAATTCAAACCTTTCCTGGAAAGATTCAAATTTCTTCCAAGTAATACCAAACTCCTTTAAAAAAAAAAAAAAAACAACAAAAATTTAGGACTTCTATATTGCTACACACTATTTGACATTGGATATCCAAGGTTTATAAGGAAGTATTATACTGGAAAAAAACAATCTCAGCGAGCTTTAGGACTCATTTTATAACTAGCTCTTATCTTGTTTTGGTCAGCAAACAACTACAGAGAGTGAAAATGCCACAGTGATGGCTGAGCTCCATAAGTGCATCACTCCAGCTCTTCTGACCCAGGAGCTGGTCAGACCATTTGATGAGAAAAATCAGTTTTTTGGCCCACAGTGCCTGAAAAAACCCTCCAAAAATCATAAGCAAGAAAGCTGGCTGTCTCTTTTTAACCCAGAAGAGGGACATAAATTAACAGTAAGTACAGCTTCAAAATAGCTACAGAAAAATAAAACTGGTAAGATCTTCTTTACAGAGGATAGAAATCCTTTTCCAAGAAAGCTCTGAAGGGCTCGAGCTTCCTGGAAAATTCCACTTCAGTGCAATTAAATCTATTTTAAGAAAACGTATCTCAGTGCAGCAGCTCACTGAGTAAAGTATTTTAAGGAGTTAACAGTCACCAAAACTCACACATTAGAAAGTGGCTACTTAATCCTGCTTCAAAAGCAAAGGATGGAAATTGGTTTTCAAGTTCCCAGTTGACCAGCTGGAAAGCCTGTTGGAGTGGGATTGTGAGGAGTGCTTGACTGATTTACCAAACACAGGGACATGGTGCTGTTTCCATGGTCACATGCACTGGAATTTAAAGGACTTGGAAAAGCAGCCTCCATCTATTATGACTCTTTGGAAGTGTCATTTACCCTGCCCTGCTCCCAACACTTCCAAGCCTCACATTCCCTCCTCCTCCACACGAGAAGCCCTGTCATGCTGAAGTTTAAAAAACAACCAAGGCTCTTCCATCCCAGGCTGGGAAGAATCCCTGTGCTAATATCAGAGACCAAATTCCTGCTTTTTTTTCCCCCCACCTTTCTCAGCATGGCAATGCCAGGCAGCAGTTGCCATCTGTGTGTGGACATCCGCAACTCAGAGGAAATTGGGATGTCTGGCAGAGCTGGACAGCCTTTACCACTGTGTCCTGTCTAATCAAGTCCTCCAATTATTCCTGGATAAATGCATGTTCACAGGGCTGGACACGAAACAGAGAGCACAGAAACTCACTGGATTATTCCAGTGACCACTGGAATGGAAGGTTCTCAGGTTAGCACCTCTGAAATACCACCAGGTAGACAAGTTTGGAACCACCTTCTTGTTTCCAGAGTTGAACCATCAGATTAAGAACAGACCAAGTCCTCTCCCAGACACTTCTCCCAGCGGGAGGCTTGTATTTACCACTCCTGTGTGGATGCCTGGGACTCTTGTGAGAGCTGAACTCCACCCAGCAGTCCCCTCAGGGTGTATAAACCACATGCCATTCTTCTCCACAGGAACCTCTTTCACACAACCTGAAGGTCAGAAACTTTAACACCTTGGCTGACATTTTCCAGCAGGTCCAAAAGCCGTTGGAAGTTGTTTTCACAAACAAAAGCCTTTTCATTCAGGCTCTAGAGCTGTTTATTCTGCATTACTGGTCTGCTCGCAGATGTTCTGCTGCACTTGCCCTGTTTTGGTTTAAGATGAAGGCAGTTACCGTGTAAAATGGACTATCAGGTGTTAATCGAGGTAGGTCAGGCCAACAGCCAGGGTGAAATGGGCTTTAATTCTGCTCCCGCTGCAGAGATCAGCAATCTCCTATTTATAGAAAACATGGAAGTGACTGCAACCCTCTTCTTGCCAAGGAAGCAATTCAGAGACATTGTTTACCCCAAACAGTTGCAATGATAAAAGGACAACGGCCCAAACAGCCGTGTCAGTGTTACACAACTCCTGGTTACTCCCAGTGCTCTCCCAGTTCACAACCAGCAGCAAAAGCCACTCCATTTTCAGGCAGGCGCTTGGAATAATCACAACATGTTTTCAAGACTAATCTACAGGTCTGAGTTGGCCCACAGCAGGGCAAGAATAACACAGCAACACTCCAAGGATTGAGGGCCCCGTCCAACTTGGGACACAGCCAGGCTGTTCCTTACATCCAGCGCTGCTCCTGCCCAAGAGGAAGGTAAAAAATGGCCAAAACAAAGCACTGCAACAATCAGCTTCTCTCAGAGACGCTTCTCTCTGTTCCCTTTTATTTTAGGATTGTCTTTCCTGCCTCTTCACTGTCGTGCATTTCTGAAAACACGTAGCTGTGCACACACAACTGATACCAAGTTCCAGTTACTTCTGGAGCATCACAGTGGACTTTGATGATTCTTGCGGATCCCTTCCAGCTCAGGATATTCTAGGATACCATAATCATCAGCAGAGTGAATAAGGCACCAATATAAGGGGTACTCTTGGAGGGGCACAAGTGCTCTCACCCTGTTTTGAGAACATGCAGCCTCACAAGACTCGGGCAGATACAAACGCACCCTTAAAGTCCTGACTGCAGCTGAGAAGTGGCCTGTTTTCAGGAAAGATTACAAAAAGTGATTACATTTTATGTTTGACTATCACACAGCACCTGTGTATGGCTGCACAGGAGCACAGCACAGCGTTTTCTAAATGTTGCATGTCTATTTATATTCTAACACCTGATATATACCTATAAAATAATGCCCATTTTGACACTCACGTACACCTACTCAACGTGACAGTCCTAACACAACAGGAATTACCTTCACCGCTGTGCTGAGTGATGCAAAGCACTACAAACAGCTTGGGAAGTCCAGATGAGGAAATGCTTGGAAAACCAGGACTGGCTGAAAGACTGCAGTATCAGTTTCACACATGTAGGAAGGTTTCTGCCCAGGAAGCTGCCCCTCATCTGCTCAGCACAGCTTGGGCACCTTTGGTACACGATCTTCCTCAGCCCCACCAGCAGGCCCTCAGCATGCTCCCTGACACTGCTTGGAATGGGTACGTTGGGAAACACGAGAAATAGCGTGCAAAAAGAATGAAAAATAGGTTTATGCACCTCTCACCTGGTTGTCAGCTAAGGGCCTTCAGACAAAAGTGTAGTTTCAATACCTTCCCTTCCCTTCCTACCCAGTTTAGTTTTAGCCATACAAAGCCCACTATTTCCTTAAATTTCAGCTGAGCTGCTGAACATTGCTTTACATGCTGGCAAGAAAACCCAGGAGCAGATATGATAAATAAATGCATTTCCCCATCAGGCCTAATTTAGTGGTTCCTTTTACAAGCCAACCTAGCTTATATTTAAAAGTTATACACATTTCTCTATAATCATTTTGCCAGGACCATTACCTATTAAATTAATTAATCAGTGAAGTCTTGCAAACCGTTCACCAAATACACAAACATCCATGGGGGATCTATGTCAGTAGAGGAGTACAAGGAAAGAATTAACCTCATTTTACTAGCCTGTCTCCTAAAAACAATATTAAATTATGGGGCAATGCTGAACTAAGAAATAAAAATGCTTTGGTTTACATTTTCTAGGTGCAGCCTTTGTTTTGTCCAAAGGTTCTTGGATACTGCTGATAAGGCATGAATTCATTCCTGCAGGGCTTCATGGATTCCAACAGATCCCACTGCAGGCAGCCACTGACATACCCAAATCCTCCATCCCGATGCCCTCACTGGTATTAAAAACAGAAAACAAATAACAAGAAAATATACATGACTTCATGTCCTGGCAGCAGAAGCACCTGGCAGGATCACAGTGTTTGGAGCGATGAGCACATCAAGGCAGACCTTGGAGGATGGGACAGACAGTGGACTAACAAACAGGGAACAGAGCCACACTGAGTGAGGATGAGGAGTAATGAGTGAGATCTGAAGCCTCGCAGAGCAGGGCTAAGGAAAAACCACCCCCAAAGCCTTCACGTTACTGCAGCACAGCATCCTTGCACCAGGCGCTCCCTGGGAAAAGCACGCAACCTGGGATCTCTCCACAATTCCCAAATGGATGACCTCTCCCACACCTGCCCTCCTCCGTGCACCCACCGGTGCTCCCCGTGCTCCCACGGCTCCAGGAATCCCAAGAGATCCTTTTTTCCCGTAGTGCAGGGACCGAGCATTCCCTGTCCTCGCTGCCTGCAACACCTCATCCTCAGGATTCACCCAAGGACACCCCACATGGAGCAATCATCTCCCAGGCCCATTCCTCCCCTCCAGCTGCCCCCCGGGGGCACAACCCCAGCCCGATGCCCTTCGCCACATGCCCCCCTTTTGCAGCAAGTGCCACCACCAAGGGGCAGTGCCCACAGAACCCGAGCTGTGCCCTCTTCTCCACCCTCCGCACCGGGAGCCCTGCGTGCCCGTCAGGGCCCCACAGCCCGCATCCCCAGACCGTTCTGCATCCCTTATGGACCCCACTCCACACTCTATCACCTCCTCGCACTCTCCGTGTCCTCCTGCATCCTCCAGGCCCCTGGTCTCGCACTCCCGACCCCATCCCCCCGGGGCGGACGGTACCTTCGCGGCAGCGCCGCCGCCAGATCGTGTCGGTGCGGAGGATGCGGCGGAAGGTGCTACAGACGCGGGCCAGGTTGGGCAGGTCGGTGCCGGGCAGGGAGCCGAAGATCTGCACCAGGAGCTCCGGGGGCAGCTCCAGCAGGGACAGCGGGGCCCGGCCGGCAGGGCCGGCCTCGACGGGAGGCGGCGGGGGCCGCCCGCCCTCGATGCGCTCCGCCACCTCCTCGTCCTCCGTGACGCTGCCTCCGCCGCCCGCCTCCTCAGGGTCGGTGTCGGTGTCGGGCTCGCTGTCGGCGGCCCCGCGGCGCTGCTCCCTGGCCGCGCCGCGCCGGCGGCAGCCGCGGGCCGGCCCCACTCCGCACAGCCGCGCGCACACCGCCATGGCCGCTGCCGCTCTGACCGCCCCGCCGCGCCGCGCCGCCCCCCCGCCGCCGGCCCCGCCCACCGCGCCGCTCCGCCAATCACTGCCGCCTCGCGCGGCCGCGCCACGCCTCCGATGGCCGCGCAGGGTGCGCTGGCGCCCCCTGGCGCCCAGGAGGACCCGGAGCATGGCGGGGCCGGTGTCCGGTACCGGGGTGCGCTGGGGCCCGTTCCGAGCCCGGGGGGCGCGTCCCTCCTCGGCTCCGGTCCCGCCTCCTGCTGCAATTCCATTAAAAAAAAAAAATACAGTACTCCCTCGGCTTGGGAAAATCTTTCTGGCGGAGGGGTAAGAAAAGGAGGAAACCGTCTTTGCCCCGTGTGAGGATCGAACTCACGACCTTCAGATTATGAGACTGACGCGCTACCTACTGCGCTAACGAGGCTCCTCGAGTACTGCCACTCCGCGCTTCGACTTTCTCCCTGGTATACTTTTTGTCCTCCCCGGGGTACTGCCTGAGAAACCTCTCATTACAGAGGGTTCCCTCTCTGCAAGAGACACCTGTTTGGGTTGTTTCGTTATGTTTTGTTCTGCCTTTTTTTTTTTTTCCCTTCCCAAATGCCAGACCTCACATTTTGTGCAAATGGCTTCTTTTTCCCATGCTGTTTTTGAGTTTTGTTTCTGGGTGTTTGGTTGGTTGGGTTTTTGGTTTTTTTGGTTTTTGTTTTTGGGTTTTTTTTTTGGAAATGGCTCCTTTATTTCCATGTTGTTCTGCAAAACAGCTGCAAAGAATCCTTTGGGGTTCCTAAGCATCCTCATCCAGCTCTGCTGGCCAGGAACAGACAGTGAGGGCTGCACTGACAAGGAAATCAAGTTGCTTCCATGTAATTAACAAAATTTAGAGCCAACCTTGTTTGCCTCCCGGCTGTGAAGAGTCACTGTTCCATTGAGATTTCTGTGGTGCAATGAGCTCCCTGTGCTCAGGGAGTGCTAAGCAGAAGAGGGTCCTCGGCATTGCTAGCAGAAATGCTGCCCTGAATCATAATGGAGGAGCCTCACCCCCAGTGAGGGTCCCACAGCAGCAGTCACCATGACAATGGAGCCATGACAAATACCTAAATTGGCAGAAGACAGGAAAACAGACGTTTAATTCATGCAGAAAGTCTGCAAACCTCGCCCACGAGAATCACTGCAGGGAGGCTGTTCATCTGCAGAGCGAGGAACTGACAGAGGATGAAGAAAGAACAGACCATTGGACATCGTAGAATCACAGAATTGTTTGGGTTGGAAGGGAGATAAAGCCCATCCCGTTCCACCCCCTGCCATGGGCAGGGACACATTCCACTAGACCAGTTGTTCCAACCTGGCCTTGAGCACTTCCAGGGACGGGGCAGCCACAGCTTCTCTGGGCAACTTGTGCCAGGGCCTCACCACCCTTACAGGGAATAATTTCCTCCCATACCCCATCTAACCCTGCCCTCTGGCAGTGGGAAGCCATTCCCCCTTCTCCTGTCCCTCCAGGCCCTTGTCTAAAGTGCCCCTCCATCTCTCTTGGAGCCCCTTTAGGCACTGGAAGGGGCTCTAAGCTCTATTCTCCAGACTGAACGCCCCCAGCCCTCCCAGCCTGGAAAAAGAGCAGAGGGGCTCCAGCCCTCAAAGTATCTTCATGGTCTCTGGATTTGTTCAAGCAGCTCCATGTTCTTACTTTGGTGAGCCCCAGAGCTGGACACAGAGCTCCAGGTTAGGTTTTATGAGTCCAGAGAAAGGGGGAGAATCCCCTCCCACTGCTCACACTGCGTTTGAGACCCACCAGACAAGATGAGACGTTTGAGTTGCGTTGGACAACCCAAGGATTTTGCCAAGGGTCTAGTGGGCAGCTCTGGCTGTCAGGGGGAGAATCCCCTGACTTTCAAGGATCTGGATGGCCATGCATATGGGGCAACCACATGATGAGTCTGAGTTTCATGGCTTGTGGTACAAACAAAATTGCTACAACCCCGGGATGAGTAAATGCTTCTTACAGCCTGAACCTCTGCATTCCTCGCTCCGACACTGCCCACGTGCAGAATGACGGTGTCATTTTTAGTAGTGTGCTAATCCTTTGGGGCCTCAGTGATGGACAAATTTAGGGCCCACACTTCTGATTAAGTTACAAAAAGCTGCTCCAAGCATCTAAAACAAGGCACATGGACCATGAGTCACCTAAACCGAACATCAACTCTTTGGAAATACATTTGTGGCTGTTTTCCACCTGTATGGAATCATGTGGCTTTTCCCCCATGTTACATTACACTCCACTGGTACTCAAAGGTTCTGACACAGTTCGAGAAGGCCTTGTCATGTCTGTTTGTTTAGGATCTGATGGATTCATAGAGAGGACAGGGAAAAGTACTGATGGCAAGGATTTTAGTGCGAATGAAACAAAAGATGTCCTTGGTGACATTGCCATGAGCAGAAACTCGGCAGTCTACAGCACACACAGGCTTTCCCCACTTTCTGGTTCTATTTTTATCTGAACTTTATTCTTTCTCCTTTTCCTCCGAATGCTCCTGCTGTGCCTAATCACCCTACAGCCTTCTCTCCTGTCCCTCACCCACCTGACCCCCATAACCTTATCCCACAGTCGGTAGATGCTGAGCCACTGCCCCATCTCTCATCAGTCAGACTTTCCCTTGGCCCACTGACCCCCTTTTCAGTCCACTCCAGCAGAAGGAAGGACAATACATCACAAATCCATGCCAATTCCCACGGAGCTCCATCACACCATGCCTATTTCCTCCAGATAAAGAATGGGAAAAGTCTGTCTGGCAGTGCCCATCGCCATTACACACTGATGTCACCTAGAGCCCAGCAAAGCCTGAGGAAACGTGACAAACCTCTCAGGGCTCAGGGTGACCTTTCCCATGGAGCAGAGTGAGGGAATCCTCACATCAGAGAGGAGAAACAATCACTGTCTCCACTCCAGGTTTCAAGTCCCAGACAGAAAATATTTCCAGTGCTGTTCTGGTGGATCATCCCACAATAGTTTTGGAGGTTGGGCACAGCCAAAGTCCTGAGGGCCCAGAAGGCGAAGAGCTGGTGCACAACAGGGCGGTTATAACTGAATATAACTTTCAACTTCAGTGTTTACCACACTGTCATCAAACTATAAAATTGGCACTTTCTCCTCTGTGTCACCGAAGCATTTATCTGAGTCAACCAGCTTTGTTTGCGACAATAGAGAAAACAGGATAAGTGCATTATCATCCTCTCCCATTCTCTGTGGCACTGTCTGGGCACCTTCCTTTGAAAACACTCTCAGAGTAATAGCCCAGAGCTTTCCAGTGCTGCTGTCTCAGGCAGGCAGCTTGTGGCCATTACCACAGGGCTCTTGAAAAAGGATGAACAGAAAGGGGAAATGTGATTGTTTCATTTCCCTCCAGCAATTAAGGAGCTGATGCAGCTCTCGCTGTAGTCAATTAATCCTCACGCTCGCTAAAGGGCTTTGGATGGGTCCCAAAGTTAGTGTCCTCATTTTCTGTAATCCTGGAAGTGTTTACGCCTTCCCAGGCTCTGAGTGGGGATGAGCCAGCTGATGGCACATCCAGCCAATAATAACCTGAGCAGCCAGGAGAGAATTATTTATTTTCCATTTGGCAAGAGAGACAGAAAAGCATGGCACGGCAGGCCGAGACAGATGAACAAACCCTCTCTGCAAGCCCTGTTTGCCACACAGAGTATTTGCAGTGTGTTTTTTTGGCACAGGCCTGCACTGCAATTTCTGCTTTGCAATAAAAAACAAAGGCTCCTCCTGCCTCCTAAAAAAACTGCCTCCATCCTTGGAAGCAGGACACTCTGAAGAGAGAATATTTCAATAGAGAGGCCAAAGAATTTTGCTTTGGTTTTTGTAATGTACATATTTTCATCTCAGATATTCTTTCTTTGTTATTTTAAGCTGGAAAACAACTCTTCTTGTCCTGAGTCTTTGACTTCCCACCTTCTGTCTGGACGTTGATTTCATCAGATTTTGCAGGATAAACAACAGTGGACAGGCTGGGCTCTTCAGGGGAAATCCAGAGCACTGCAGAAACACTGATGATGACTCAGGAAGTAGTTTACACTCTCCTGCTTTAGAGCAGAACTCGGTGCCCTCATTTTACTTGGCTATCCACTGCCAGAGGGCAGGGTTAGATGGGATATTGGGAGGAAATTCTTGGATGGGAGGGTGGTGAGGCCCTGGCACAGGTTGCCCAGAGAAGCTGTAGCTGCCCTCTCCCAGGAAGTGTTCAAGGCTAGGTTGTACAGGGCTTGGAGCAACATGGGACAGTGGAAAGTGTCCCTGCACATGGCAGGGGGTGGAATAAGATGAGCTTTAAGATCCAGCCTTCCAACCCAAAACACTGTGATTCTCTGATTTACGAAAGAGGGTATGATCCTTCTTCAACACACTGTCCTTGCAGCGAGGAACCAGTGGTTCTGACAGTCATGAATGCTTGGAGTCACCCCCTTTTTCAGCACTTCTACCAGAGGCATTTGTTGTCCTTCCAGCTTTGACCACGGTCCAGCCTGAACAATTTAGCCCAACACCTCCAGCAGCTCTGTTCACAGAAGCATTCCCCTGCTCTGGATGGATCACAGGACAGGCAGTCAGGGGCTGGAGATGCTGTTACTGAGTCAGGTGCTGAGTGATGGTTGTGCAATCCCAGGCAGCTCACGGAACCTCTGCACATCTCCTCACAACGTCAGCACAGGGGGTGTTTGCTGAAGCCACAGGCTATGTAGGGCTCAGTTAATATTTGAATATGTGGGGAATTGCTTAAATCCTAGGAATATTGAGAACCAGTGGAAGAACTTGTCACATGCTGTATTATTCCATAATTTCCCTGTTCTGCCTCCCGCGCTCACGCTGTTGTTGCTGCTTGCCAAGAGGTTATGGATTTTTGGAGTGAAAAGTAGTACATAAACATGACTTATTGTTGCTTACGCCAACTGATTTACCATGTTCCCTAATCAAACCAACGTCTCCCTTTTAGAACTTGATCCTG